AAATCAAATCGAATGTTGCAAAGTACGCCATAGTGCATGACCAGTTATACAGAAGGTCTTTTCTGGGCCGTACTTGGAGTGCATCACTCCCACAGAGGTTCGGCAGGTGCTGCGAGCTATTCATGAAGGTGTATGTGCAAACCATTTAGGGGGAAGGTCTTTAGCGCACAAAGTAATGACGCAAGGGTACTTCTGGCCGAACATGTCGCGAGATGCGGAAGAATTGTCCAGAAGGTGCGATAAGTGCCAAAGGTTCGGACCACTGATTCACCAACCACCTGAGGACTTGCACGTAATGGCCACACCATGGCCTTTTGCATAATGGGGGATGGATGTGGTTGGTCCTCTGCCAACTGCAAGAGCTCATAACAAGTATGTGCTGCTGGCTATAGATTACTTTACTAAGTGGGTGGAAGCAGAGCCGTACCTGAGCGTAACTCAGACTCATGTGAGACGGTTCATTTGGAGTAATATTATTTGCCGGTTTGGTGTTCCGAGGTCAATCGTCATGGATAATGGGACAAACCTTGACAGCAAGCAAGTAAGAGAGCTGTTGGAGGAATATGGAATTAATCAAAACCTGGCGGCAGTAAGTCACCCCCAGGCCAATGGACAAGCGGAAATCACGAATAGAACAATCTTTGCTTGTATCAAGAAGAAGCTTGAAGAGAAGAAAGGAAAATAGTTAGATGAACTGCCGAACGTCCTATGGGCTTACAGAATGACCCCAAGGCGACCGACCGGAGAAAGTCCATTCGCCATGGCGTATGGTACTGAAGCAGTTATACCGGTCGAATACTTGGTTCCGACTGTTCGGAGCTTGGCATGGAGCCGAGAGCATAACGACAGTATGTTAAGTTTTAACCTCGATATGCTGGAGGAAAAGAGAGATGCAGCGGCAGTAAGGCTCGTATCTTACCAGTAGACGCTTGCGAATAGCCATAACAAAAAGGTAAAGCACAGAGACTTTACACCAGGTGATCTGGTTATGAAAAAGAAGGTGGGGATAGTCAAAAAGATGATGCCACCATGGGAAGGTCCATACAGAATTGCAGAAGTCATAGGAAAGGGGGCATATACCCTAGAGACCATGGCCGGAAGGCTGGTTAACAAGCCTTGGAATGCTACGTCTCTGAAGATGTATTATCAATAAAAAGTTAAGAGTTTCAATGTTGAATTTTGTTCATTTTCAATTGAATACAGGCGAATGTACAAGTTTCTGAGATTTATAAAAGTAATATTCCTCTTTAAGAGATTGATCAAGTAAAAATAGCAAAGTAAGTGGCAGCTGGCACTATGAGCCGAACGCCAGGCACTTATAAAAAGCCAAGTGGCAAGTGGCATTCTAGCCGAGTGCCAGGCACTTAAGCAAAGTAAGTGGCAGCTGGCACTATGAGCCAAACACCAAACACTTGCTAAGAGATAAAAAGCTTGCTAAGAAATAAAAAGCCAAGTGGCAAGTGGCATTCTAGCCGAGCGCCAGACACTTAAGCAAAGTAAGTGGCAGCTGGCACTATGAGCCAAACGCCAAACACTTGCTAAGAGATAAAAAGCTTGCTAAGAAATAAAAAGCCAAGTGGCAAGTGGCATTCTAACCGAGCGCCAGACACTTAAGCAAAGTAAGTGGCAGCTGGCACCATGAGCCGAACGCCAAACACTTGCTCAAAAACAAAAAGTAAGTGGCAGCTGGCATTATGAGCCGAGCGCCAGACACTGCAAAGTAGATAAATGTGAAGCTGGTTATTACCACCCATGCACAGATAAAGTCAATGTTTTTGTCATCTCATTCATGATATGTTTAGAGGTTACAAAAGATAAAGTATACAGATGACATAACTACAAAGAAGCAGGAAAGTAAAATATCAGAAGAGTCCTAGCTAGCTGCCTCTGTTCTGTCAGCCTCTTGATTGTGTTGACTTGCCTCTTCATTTTCATTGGTCGTCCCATCTTCATGAGGTGGGGAGTCGAGATGAATAACTGAATCGTTTTGTTGGGGCCCAATCTCAGTAGCGGTTGAAGAAGGGACCATAGTAGACAGAGGAAGAACGTCTAGAGGCTGAACGACAGAGGGAGTTGTAGTGACTCTGGAGGAAGCAATCTCCTGACACTCATCAAAAATGTGTTCAGCAGGAGTGGACTCTGGATCAACATAGACTCCTGGAGGATCAATTTCTAGATCCTTATCAACTTCGTCCGGAGTGGAACCGGTCTGTCCGTCAGCAGGAGCACGGTCTGAGAAACCCTCTCTGTACCCCTGAGCATACCTGAGAGCCCCAACCCTTGAAAACCGAGCGTGAAGAGCCAGCATACCACCATTCACCTTGCTAATGGTGTTGAGCAGAGCATCACGCTCCTTCAGGGCTCTCTTCTTGAAGGCCATCCGAGCGGACTGTTCGTCAGCCAGAAGGCGCTGGAGTTCTGCTTTTTCATTCTTGAGCGAATTGCGCTCGGTCTGCCAAACGCTCTTCTCAAGGTGAAGGGCATCCCTTTCATCCTGAAGAGAATCGGTTTTCCTTTTCAGAGCGTCTGTCTCTTTTTCAACTTTGCCAAGCTAGACGAACAGTTTTGTGTTTTTGGTGGCGAGGATGTTATTTTCTTTATGGGCCACCTCAAGGCTGTCAGAGAACTTCCGAGCCTTGGCGTTCCCTATTTCCACCTGTTTCTGCATGGCCATCATACCGAATAGGGTCTGCAGAGATATGTATGAACACTGGTTAAACCGATTGCATGGTCAGAGGAGGTTAAGCATAAAGATTATGTGAAGATTTTTCTGATTGGGAGATAAAAATTACCTCCATGGCAGATAAGGGAAAGCGGCTGAACACCTCCTTCTGGGATAGACCTTTGGCTGTTTCAATGTCCTTGGGAGTCCACATGCTCCTGTAATATGCCATAGCAGTCTGACTATCCTTGAACATGGTCTCGTTCGGCTTCACGAATGTCCCATCCGTTCGGGCGAATCGAGGAGTCCATGGTGCTGTTGCAGAGGCAGAAGCAGAAACAGAAGCTGAAGCAGAAGCAGCAGCTGTAACAGGCCCAGAGGGGGTAGGAGAACTGACTGGGCGATGCAAGAGTGTACCCGGCCCAGAGATTCGGATCCTCCTTGTATGAGATGCATCATTAAGGTTGGCTGCACTGTCGGGATGAGGCCTTTTGTCTCGCTCTTTATCCTAAGCACCCGCAGTAACAGCAGAAGTAGTATTGACCTGAGGAGGTGCGTTCGGATTGGTAGAAGGAACGCTAACGGCAGGATCAACAGCCACTACATTCGGAATGGTGTCAGAAATAGTGGCCGAAGAAGAAGCCGAGGTAGGAGAAGAGGTTGCCGCAGCAGTAGCAACAGTGACTCGGGGAGGGTTCTTCCTCCTGCCAAATGAAGGAATCTGGAGCTGGCTCATTGCGTTGCCAAGGGCTGAAATTGCGAGAAGGTTGTCCGAGGTAAGGAGGTCTGAGCAAGAAGGAACGTCGTTCAGAACGTACTTCTTCAAGTAATTATCCCTATCCTTGCAAACACTGTAGCTCAAATCATCACAAGGAATGCCTAAGGAACGGCACAAGAAAGTACAAAACCGAGGAACACAAATTTCGCAGGGACAATCGTTCTTATGTGTTTTGAATTTCTTATACGAAGAGACAGAACACACGCCAAAGGTGCTCAGGATTGGATAATCCTCTGCAGCTGGAGAAGACCAGGCCCCCCTAACCCCTATTATGTTGTTTCTCCAACCCTTTTCAGACTTGATTGTGTCTTTACATATGGACATCTTTTCAATCGGGTAGAGGTGGTAGAATGGTTCCTCAAGTCGGATCTTATTAACCTTGTAACAGAGAAGATCTATGATATCAAGATCCAGACCTCTGTCACGAGTCAGTAGTAGCAGAACGGATAGGATCCTAAAAAAATTTGGATTTACTTGCAGAGGGGAGATCCCTAGTTTGTTGAAAACATAGCTAAAGAGAGGATGCAAAGGGAACCTAATGATGTTCAACTGAAGATGGGTAGACAAGACTGCGCCGGGAAGAAGGCCAGCACCAGTCCTGATATCCACATCTTAGGGCAGTTTCTAATTTCTATATCTGCAGGGAGATGAAGTTTCATGCGAAGAACATCTAGATCTACAGGCATGGTGAAAATGAATGAGGATTTTAAGGGAGAAAAAGTGATCTTCTAAAAGAAAAAGGCAAACGAAACTAACCTCAGAAGGAGAAAACGTAGATTACTGCAAGATCGCTGGAAAAAGGAGCTTTCGCAGAGGTTCGCAGGAGGAGATTTGATTTGATTTGACTAAAAAGAAAGAGAGGCAAGCAAAGATTTGGCTAACAACGATGCAAGATAGAGACAGTAAAAAAGGTTTGAGGGAACGTCTCTGATACTTATAAGGACAGAGTGGGCCCGAAGGTTGAAGCGTCAGGAAAACGAGTTTCTTTGGAATCTCGAAGCATCGGTTTTAGATCCGACCATCCATTTTCCCACGAGGTCTTCTTGAGCCGTTAATGTCATGGTTGGCCGCCGATAATAATTACCCCCTTATTTACTAGGGGGTAATTATGGGGGCAATTGAGGATATCAAAGATGGATTGGACCAGACCCGACCCGCGAGTAAAGCATCAGGTTGAATGGTAGGTCCGAGCCCAAGCAAAAAGGGTAGCGTAATGAGCCCAACGCCTACGAAAGAAGGATCGGACCGAACAGTTGAACTCAGCCCATAACGCAACACTGAGAGTTAGGCCCAACGTCTGAGGCTCACATAATGAAGTCAGGCCCAAAAGGAAGAAGGCCCTAGAATAAGAGCCCTATGTAATAAGTTGGTTAGAATATTTGTAATGGTCTATAAATAGACCATACGAGTAGAGAGAAGGAGGGGCTTTTTGAGTTTTCATTCTGTTGAAGTGTAAGAATTCTAGAGAGAGAAAGGTGAAGGAAGTTCTTGCATCTTCATATATATATTTCATTTTTTATTTGGAATGAGATTTATTCCTTCAATTATCTTTCATGTCAGGTGGCAAAACTTGGAACTGGAGCTGATTTGCCTTACAGAATGGCTGTGCATCCTGGAGGAGAAGGCCTTATATGTTCGTTGCTGAAAAGTTGCAGGTATTTCTTCTTTCTCTATTTTTCTGCGTGATGAAGAATTTGATTTATTAAAATAAGCTCAATTCTGGCCTTCTAGGTAATGACGTGAGGTAAGTTAATGCAAGTACATTATACTAACATTGGAACTCCGAGTATTTCCCATTTTTTTTTCCATCTTTTGTGGTGTGGGTGGGGTGGGGGGGTACTTATTCTACTAACTTGGTGATAGAAATGTAGGACATCTAAGCCATTGTTGTAGGTTTGATTTTGATTTAATCATAATATTTTTATTCTCTCTCATCTAGAGGAAATGCTATTTATTTTTATTCTCAGGATTCAGTCTGTTGAAAGTTATTATTAGTCTCTTGGTATATCTCCATAACTATTTATTGATGACAATCATTCATAAGAAAATTCAATTCAGCTAACTAGGATCACGTGGACTTAATTTGGATGGATTTCATTGGCATTAAATGTTATAATTGTTGCTTTTATTTTGCATACCAGTCCTATTCAAGTGTGCAATTCATGAAGCTCTATGCATGTTGGATAATGGTATAATAACTAAATCATATGATGGTAATATTGTGGAAATATTTTTTTTAGAGGTGACTTTTGTTTTGTCTGACGTTGTGGGTGAGTAGGCCATACGAAGGAATTACAGACTTTATATTTATCTGCCAAATTTAAAGAGCCATTTGTGCATCTCAGGGTGCAGGCCTGCCTAGTTGGAGCTGGCCACCATTTATGTTTTAAAAGCAATCTGCAAAGTTTTTTTTTCCCCCCTCAAAAGAGTTTTGTTTTTCTGTGTCATTGGATTTTTCGCAGTTGTCTCCCTGATAGATACTGGAAGCCATTTTGGAAACAGCCCCAAAGTTGCTTCAGCAGGCTTCCTATTGTTTCTAAGAGTAAAACTATAGGAATTCTATAACTACCCAGTAGTTTGCTGTTTTCTACCTTTCAAAACAACCCTAAGTAGGTGATTATTTGATGACTTTTATTTATTTCAGTATTTTTATTTAGGGTGACTGACCCTGACCTCCCTTGAGGTATGGGCTTTTCACCCATAAATTAAATTTTGTTCAATCTGTGACCAACCCCTCCGAGGTTGTTAAAAAGCCGATCAAAAGGGGCCAAAATTGCCCTTAAGTACGCTACAATGACAGAATTAACCATGCACTTAGATTATATTCGTGTCAAGAAACATTGACATGAACACGACACGATTATTACAGGGATAATACAACACAGTGTCGTAACCCATTTAATAAATTCCACCTACACCCTTTGACCTTTGCCAATATTCCACTCACCCCCCCTCTACGTTTCATAATTCCACCTACCTTCCTTGTTAATAATGGCCGTGAAAATGTATGATTTTACGGTATTGCCCATAAATTATATATTGATATTTATAGAAAGTTGTACCTAAAACTAAAAAGACCGAACTACCCTTTAATTATCTAGTACCAAGACACAAATACGAACAGAGAGAGGGGCACTCGAGAGCTCCACCTCAAGGGATTGCAGGACTGAAAAGTAGTTACGAGCTTTGCCGGACTGAACTGAGCCTCACCGGACTTGGGATTGACGAATCGTTTAGCTCTCAGTTCGGTTACGGGAACCACTCGTGCTTGGGCTCACCGTTTTTGAAGTTCCCTTGAGGTGGAGCACAAATGGCCTTCTCCATCTACATAGTCCGACCGGCCAAACTTGGAGGTTGCTGGAACTAAAGCTGGGGGACGTGGGCCCTCGAGGTTCTGTGTACTCGTCGGCGTCGATAGATGTTGAAGTTCTGTTCACCGCCCTCCACGTCGATCAACACCGAACACAACTCAATACCCAAACAACCAAACAAACCCAACCTCACATCCCTTCATCACCAATAATTATAGTCGTCGATCTTGTCGGAATATGTTATTTGCTATCGGCGCCACTGCTGGTTGGGTGGGGATGGTGGTGCCAATTACTGGGATGGAGATGGACCCGGATGGTAGTGCCGATTACGGGATGGGGATGGGCCGGATGGTGGTGCTCCAGTGGTGGTTGTTTGTGGTTGAGAGAGAGAGTGTTCATTTTTTCTCTCCATCTATTTGGGTTGCCGACTGTGGGTGGCAGTGGTATACGAAGACACCACCATTGAACGACATGATCGCGAGCATTAGGAGGTATCTGATCGCCAAGTTGACTCCGAACAACACCGCCACCGACATCGAATTGCCTTGGGATCCCAGGTGTGCCATTATAGTCACTGGTCGTTGGTTCTCCTGTTTTTTCCTCTACTGGATCAATCCCACACCGTTGCCGCATCACTGCCACCGACGTCGATCTGTTCTCGCTGTCCAAGTGTCTCTGTACTCTGCTGTTGTTCTCTCCCCTCCACAAACCTGAGTCACACTATGCCGGCTTGTATTAGGAATTGACGTTTTCTTTGTGTGGATTATAACTTTACCTTTTCTTTTTCCTAAAATTGATTTAGGTATTAGATCTCTGTTTGGTCTCTGTTTTGGGTTTGTAGCAGAGCCACTGGTAGTGGTGGTGGTAGTGGAGTTGCCGATAAAGGTGGTGGTTGCAGCGTGAACAAACTCCTATTGCCGTGGTAGTGTGGTTGATTTGGGGGTTGACTGATGATATTGGAAAAGAAACTCCAGGGGTAGCATTGTAAATTTGTATTGGTCAATGATGTTAAAGATGTCATTTCAAACATTAGAAGGGCAAAATTGACCTTGTACCTATTTTTTCTTGCTGACATAAGCACACACCGTCTGTTACTTAACGGTAGGGGGTAATTTGTTATGTAAATCAAAACCTCAGGAGAGAGGTAGAATATTGAAACGTAGAGGGGGTGCAAGTAGAATATTGGCAAAGGTTAGGGGGTGTAGGTGGAATTTACCCTTTAATAAATAAGTCAAGGCTATGAATAATGGGCTGTTAGTACGTCATGGGCCACAGGCTATAAAGGATTTTAAGAGGATTGTTACGTGGGGCCCAGGAACCAATTATCCATCTCCTTTCTGAATGACAAGCCCAGCCTACACACTATGCCTAAGCTAAGCCACGAAGATTACTTAGATAAGTCATGATTTGGGCCACAAGAGTGCACAGATTCAAAAAGAAGGGTTACTTGGGTGCCCAATAATAACCTGATTTCAGTTTCTTTTCTTAACACCAAGCCCAACCCACCTATCTTCACAGAACCCAGCAATTTTGATCATCCACAGAATCGTCTTCTTCATGGCACCTCTGCAATCTCATGGACTTCGCCGGGGAAGAGGAGGTGGATGAAACTCAGCGCTGACGAGGCTGGTGTAAGCATTGATGAGAAGGTTTTTCGTCATACTCAGTGTTGCGCTGATATATCAGAAACGTTTTTTCCCGACACTGCACTGCCAAAGGGAAGAATCTATAGATTTTCGTCTCGGGACTCTAATAGACATCGCCATGGCTTTAGATGGTCTAGAAAAGACAAACAGAAGTGGATTTCTACTAACAACCCAGGTATGTCCTCAGCTCTTCACACTCGAAGCTCTCTTACTGCTCCTCTTTGTACTCCTCCTTGTGGGGTGTTGAGGAGTGTTGTTGTTGACACGACAACAGAGAAGAGCTGTGGGTTATCAGTTATGCCTTCGGCACCTGAAGTTGAGTATGGTTTGAATACGGATGGGAAGGAAGCCTACGGGTTTGTTATTTTTGGGCATGTTGACCGAGCTGATAGTGTGTAGTTAAGGACTCACCTGAGGGGGTCACGGTCTGCATGGGGAGAGATCTTCATTTTCAGTTGTCTAATGATGAGGCTATGGCTTTGTTCAAAGAGCTCCGTTTGCGTGTAGCCTTGAAAGGCCTTAACTGCTTGCCACTTGCAGGGGTTGAGGAGAACGAGTCTGTCAGATTCATGAGTAATGGAATGGACGACTATGTTATAGATTCGGATACGATGCTTGAGAATGGAAGAGATATTGAAGAGGAGGTGACTGATGACCTGGGTTCCATCCAATAGGTTTGCTCTAATAAGCTTGCCCCTTAGTTGGAGAATGATTCTAACGTGTTAGTGGAGGAACCATTGGCTGTTGTGCGACCTGGCTGTTATGGAACGGTTGCTGATATGGGAAAGGATTGGGTAGTCGGTAATATAGGAGTCACCAGTGAGCTGTTGGGTGTCTCATCAGAGGGTAATAATGACCAGACATTAACCATCCTTCAAGTGATAGTGGAAGGAAGAGAGGTTGCAGTGACTAATGAGGTCGTGAACATGAGGCCTTTAACGTTCTGGAAAGGGGCACAGGAGGTTAAGAATCTTATCTCTTATGTCAATTATGAAGGGAGGAGAGGGGTGGTGAGGGAGAGGGGAAGGACTAGAAGCAGGAGTACAAGGAAGGGAGGAGGAGAGATAATCTTATCTGGTTTTTAATGAAGTTATGAATCATTACTTGGAATGTTCGTGGTCTCAACAACCCGAACAAGAGGGGGGTGGTAAAGGTAGCTTTAAGGAAGTGGGGGCCAGGTTGTTTGTTTGCAAGAAACCAAGTTGGCATCCATTTCTGATGGGGTGGTTAGGAGTTTGTGGGGTGCAAGGTTTGTGGAATGGGAGGCCTTGAATGCTACAGGTACTTCGGGTGGAATTATATTTATGTGGGATAATAGATGGCTGTCTAGGATGGACGTGTGGATGGGTAAATTTTCTGTGTCCTGTGAGTTTAAGATGGAAGAGGACAATTTCAGATGGGTATTTTCTGGGGTCTATGGACCGGTTGTTGATAATGATCGACCTATTTTCTGGGAGGAGCTTTGCCATGTTCAAGGATTGTGGTCTCTTCCTTGGTGTCTGGGTGGGGATTTCAATTCTGTTAGATTCCCGTTAGAAAGGTCTACAGGGGGAAGGAGATCTTCAGATTTGGATCAATTTTCTGACTTTATTGATGAGCATTTTCTCATTGATTTACCAATGGAAGGTGCAACCCATACCTGGTCAAATGGCAGGGATCCAGTCACTTTTTCAAGGCTGGATCGATTTTTGATTTATG